ATATTTGTCCTGTCTTTCGGCAGTCCTCAAACTTGTGATTAATTATTCTGACACCTCACACAGACATCCTGCGGATGTTCGGGCTTGTAAGAACATGCGATCGCTGGATTTGTTACTTCTCAACCAAAGTGAAAAACTCAAAACTGCCAAATCATTTTGTTGCTTGGAAGATGTATCAGACCGTGGTTTGATGGATGCGAAAAGTGCACAAATCCCCAACGCTAGGATCACGGTCGCGAATTAGGGATACCTACAGAGACATCTGAGCCTCAGGGGTCGTGTATGTCTCTGGCACATAGCCTCTGCGAGCAGCTGAAATGAAATATGTTTGCCAACTAATGCCTCAGAAGTATGGCTAGGGTAGGTTAGTGCCCGAGAAATTCACAACGGGACACTTGAAAAACAAATGTTCCCTTGGGATTCCAATCGAAAAACCAGTGCAGTGTAAGAATGAATGATTTAAGAGTGTCAAACTGTCCAAGTGACTCCAAGCGACGAGGAAAGTTGAGCGTTGGAGTTATATTTTTGGTGGTACTAGGTACAGCGGAGTTAGAAGCAAAACAGAGCGCACGCATCGGTTGTAGGTCAGGTGGCTGCTGACCTGTTCACCGAGCTTGGCAGCTTGCTTGCAGACGTTTCGCCACCAGTCGTGAAGACCTCATTAGTGTACAGCTGAGTGGGTCACACATATTCACAGTCATATATAGATCATCTTGCTAGAAGCTGTAGCCTAATAATTCGTCCCGCCAAGTGGCGTTTATACGCACATTTCGTGATGACACTTGTACTTTGTTTGCCTTTCTGTCTGATAAGCTTATTATTTCGTCCTACAAAGTTGCTTGAGAAGCGATGGAGAGATCCACCAGCCCTTGTATGAAGTCTCTTTACAGGACAAGGCAGATCAAAACATAAGTCATGCTCACAATGCGTCGGAAAACTGTGGTCATAGAAAAAGTCAGTGAAAGCATGTCTTTCAGCTTTTTAACGTTATCTTGATAATATTTCGAACATCTAGGTACCTGTCAGAAATGGCGTGATTTGTCTTTGAATACACCCTTGAATAGACGACCAAAATGCAATCACGGGGTGAACCAAGAAGGCAAGCATACGTACAGCAAATATCTATATATTGCTGATAAACACGTGGTAACGTCGGGTAACGTGTCTAGTAGGGAAGCGTGTTCGACAGAAGCCTATTAAGGCTACTGGCAAGGTTACCGGAATTAGTACAGTGGAGAGACCCTCAGTGAAAATAAATAGGTAATGGTACTACGGGAAATGTGTAGATTTGTGAGGGGAAAAGGATGTTCACATTCAGAAACCTAAGAGTCAAGAAGGAAATGTATACGGGATATGCATCCTTCATATATTATTACTCTACGGCCCCTAGCAAGAGAGCTTCTGGGATGGTCAGCGCGAAACAAATTGTAGCCATCAGGCTGCATTATGTCATTGTTGATTTAGCACGCAGCCAGCGTTCGCGTGACATAACAACAAGTGTGCTAATGGACTTTTCGATTGGGTAATTGAATCATGCTACCCGCCACTCCGAAAAACTAACAGGCGTTGATGATTCGCACTCTACGTATACTTTTGCGCCTGAGTGGCACCAGCCGCCCGACATGAAGCCGTTTTACCTCCAACACGTTTCAGAAAGGCTGCTTTTCGAGGATCCCTCACGTTGCGGCTTAATAACTTCAGAGGGGCGGAAACGCAGAGATTTCGGGAAATAGCGCCTAACGGTCTGTAGCACGACCCCGAGGACAAACATGTGCTATTGCAGGTGAAATATGGTAAAATCCGTTGTAATTATGTAGAAGAGTAGGGAATACGGCCAATTTCAAAAGCACCTTTTTTAGTAGGTAGCACAAATACTAAGTCATCCCTTCATTGACATTTACCTAGATAGGACATGGGACGAGACACAAAGCTGTCTTATTTCCGGTTGACTTCCATCCGAATCAACTCGACCAAGCTCATAAGATTCCAGCGTTCCCTGAATGGAACTTAAGGAAATTTTGCCCGAAAAGTAACTGGGTGGACTCATAATGGCGAGTTTCTCAACGTGCGACAAGAACGCGCAAACTACTTTGCGCGACGCATCTGCACGCTTGGGTGCGCGAACTTCGCAGTCGCCGCAACAGCCTGGAACTGGTATTGCATCAGTCCGAAGGAGCGTGCGAATGACCTGTCGGCTGCAGTCAATTGGACAGCCGATCTTGTCCAATGATTTCTCCGTCCTTGGATTGGTTACACAAGCAAGCAAGTGATTCGCCCATGTATGGGGGCGGAATGACTTTACGTCAGCCTTGGAAGCGCACGTGATCAAGCAGTTGCGCTACTGGCTTTTAGCCACTTTCTATCCACACAAAACTAACCAATGAAAGTAAGGCGAGCGTTTGCCGCTTCGTCACTGCCCTACAGACCGGTTCCTTGTCCTCCTAAGGTCGTCGTCCACTTTTTCGTGTCCCAAACCGCTGACTTTGTCTTTTGAGTACAATGGTCGGCTCTGAATTCTTGGACTATATTTCGAAGTTCCAAGTGGCTACCTATGTCGGCGTGGAGGATTTTGCAGACAAATTCAACTTCCTTGTAACAGTTATGATTTTGCTTCTGTGCACGACGGTTGTTACTGTGAAACAGTACATGATGAAGCCGATATCCTGTTACATGGCAACCGATATTGGAGGCAAAAATCTGCTGGATTATGTGGAAAATTATTGTTGGGTCCAAGGTACCATCCCAATTGCGTACGCTGGGAAGATGCCTGAGACTGACGCTGCTTGGGAAGAAATGGAAAAACACAAGCTTTGTGAGTCACTGAACGTTGGACTGTGGTCTCATAGGGCGGCTTCTTGACTGTTGTCCAAATAGGTCTGTAAACCTTTTCGTTTAGTAAGTAGAATGGGTCCAGATTCTTCATGCTTTGTTGTAAGTGCTTGGGACTTTGTCCACCGGGAACGCGTTCCCATTGTTGACTGGCTGATGAAACTATCCACACTGTCCATATGAAAAACACTCAAACCCCACTATATTTCATTATGTACTGCAGTAAAATGTATTGCATCGTGGGTCCCACATAAAACAAACTTTGTGGATTGGTGAACAAAGTGTCACAAAGAATTAGCAAACCGTTCAATGTAGTGGAATTATTTCGTCAGGCAGTAAATTGGATATCGTTTACTTATGTGCAACCTAGTTGAAGATATGGTCCGTTCAGCCAGGGTGTATACGCTCATACTAAAAGGTATGGCGACGACAGCCGGTAGAAGCATTTATGAGGCAATTTCAAACGATTTTCCTGGTGTGTCCAGAACCAATTGTGTGGTATGGAGTTGGCATCGAGTTAGTTACGTCAGATTCATATAACCTTTAAATGTGTTTCGATCAGGTCTCAATGCAGTCCTACTCGAAGCTCATGGAGATAATTTAGGCCATGATTACGAAATGGTTGTTGATGTACTTCGTGAGACTTCTCTGCCCACCTCTGCAACCTCGGGGTGGAAATACTCCAGGGACGATTGCTTACAGACGTTAAGTGGGCCGACGACGTAGTTCTTAGTTCAGTCCCTTAGAGATGCAAGCCATTTTATTCAACTTAAGTAATTCTGCTTTACATTTGCAACGTGTACAGTGATGTCACAAGAGTGGATGGGCTCAAACCAAACTTCATGTTTGCAAACGAACCTATCGAAATGTTAGACAAATTTATCTGCTTACGCGGCTGCATAACCTCAGTGGATCACTTTTCGGATCCCGAGGACTTGTACAGGCCCTGCCAGCCTACGACACCCATGGCACCACTATGACGTCAGCTTGTCTGTTCAGAACAGAACATATACTGTGTCAGTGCGATCTCCACTTTTTGCGGATCGAAAAGATGGCTTTTACGCACAGGCTATATACAGCGTCTCCAAATCATCACGTGGATCCGATGGGAATATCGGATTAACAATATTGGGGTACGTCAGATGGTTATGGGAAGTAGGAACTCTCCTGCGATAGACGAGCTAATCACGCTTCATAGGACACGTGCTCCGGATTTCAGAGGTTCTACCTCGGAGCTCATTCTGCTAAGCCCTGTGCTGAGTGAAAACGATTGAGTGATATTCTTTGGTCTGGTAACGAAGTATGGTGGTCCTAACCAATAAACTCGGTCGGGTTGACATTTGTTACCTTCCTGGATGGGGACCCTGGGGCTCGATTAATCAATGGGTAATCAAACTGAGAGATAAGGCTCAATCACTCCTGTGTTACAAAAATAACCGTAGGTGTATGGCTGCCCTGTTTCCTGCCGCGTCGGACAAATACATGACTTAATGTTTATGAACTGAGGAGGCGATTGCCTCAAATGTCTGAAAGTACAAACTCTTTGGTCTCCTATTTTTTACCGACGAAGGCTGCGACTTGGCTTATAGCTGATAAATCAAACTGAGCTGAAGTGGCTCAACTTTGCAGATCTCCCTTTGGACTCTTCTGCTTTACTCTTTCTCAGACTGCCGGTAGGTTATTTCGGCAGGAACGATGGCGTCTAAATCATTGACAGACGTGTTCCAGCAGGATATCCATCACAACGGAATATTATTTTCGTAAGGTGGGTGGTAGAGCAATCGGCTGGTAGTTGGACGGGTGGATTTTGTTTTGACTTCCGTAAATTGGACTGATTTAGGCCTTGTCATCACTAAATACGAAACTCTGTTAATCCTAATGTAGCCCTTTTTGCGAAGTTGGAATTGCCTTTGAGCCATGACTTCTAAACCGTCATATTTTTGTATAAGTTTGGGAAGGAGAATAGTTTGTAATGACGCTTTGGTGAAGACCTTCGGAGGTTACTTTGAAATTAATGGGTATGAATTTGGGAATTATTGAAAAAAACTTCTCCATAAAGCTTGACCTATTCAACAGCATTCCGCGACTTCAGCACATACTAGTAATTATTCAGTGTGTAAGACTGATTCAAACTAAGGAGAATATTGCATGCTACCACATACACTACACATGAGCAGAAATTCAAGGCTTGGCTTGATGCAAATCGATTGTTGACAAACGATATCGGTTTCACTGCTGTTTTCGTGTGACATCAAGATGCAAAAGTACTCTTATTAGCGGGCTTGAACCAAACGCCCCATAAAAGTTGTCGTGTGAATGGCATTGTTTTTTGCACGACGCTGCACTTAGTACCCGCCCCAAAACATTGCTGGTTTTGTCGTGTCGAGCAGAAGCATTCAATTAGCACACTGCCTGTAACAACAGCTATTAGCTACGTTGGTCCTTGTGGTGGACCAAGGGTGTTGCTGGTGGTCCCTTCGATGTTGAAGAGTGCTTTCGCAGCCCAATCCGTTCGATCCATTTGGAGGCTGCGAAAAGATGACATGAAAATAGTTTTTTCAGGGTCATGTGAGATAATCAAATTGAATGACATCTTGTGAACTAGCGATTAGTCATAGCAGCACTTCATGTTGTGGAATGGCTTAAGGATGACTCTTGGACATGCAGAGGTTGTAGATGAGAAGTCACTTGAATCAGCTGTAGGACGAAACCTAGTGTTGAACTCAAGATAGCTCAGTGGTTAAGACGCGAGCGTACTGACCGGAAGGTCTGTGGTTCGAATCCAACCTCAGCACTTCGATTGCTTCTATCTAAGCTTTGGCAACACGGCAGTATCTCAGCCCTCGTGCTTCTTTCAGATAGCGTGGCAGGTGGGCACCGAAAGGGTGTTACAGCTGAAAGATTATTTATCTTATACTTCTCAGTGTTGATTTGGTTTTTAGGAAGTGGAGCAAAGCTACCCTACGGTGTGGACGAGCGTAGCCGGAAACTTGCTATCACGGTAGGCATTATCACCGGTTTTTCGCATTCAGAAGATGTTTTAGAACATTCTTCTAGGTTGGTGGTTTTCGTGGCAACTGACTGGTGATCATTTGGTGTTGAGCAGTTCTCCGTAGGCCCGACTGATAGCTGGTATTGTTCGACTTGACCAACCCTGTCGCAAAGTCCCATTGAGGTACGATCTGAGTGCACTGAACCGTGGAACGCCTGAGGAGAATAAACTAGCAGTGAACGGTGAGTTTTGAGGTACGATCTGAGTGCACTGAACCGTGGAACCCCTGAGGAGAATAAACTAGCAGTGAACTGGTGAGTTTTTCCACGGTTCAGTGAGGCGAAATCGAGCAGTGAAAAGAAGCTAGCTGAAGGCACTTGCGTGGAGTGCTACAATCAGAGAAACCCTGGAGTTATGGTACTCTGAGAATGGAATGTTAGTTATCAATGCCACATATTCCTTACTGATAAGCCGACAGGAGGGCCGGCTCAATTCACAAACGCATGACGTATGCTCTCATCAGGTTACTCGGAATTTTTTCAGTTAAAGTTGAATTCTCAGTTGAAGGAGCTCCCTTTAGCAGCACGTTATCTGAGGAAATTCCCCTAAAATGTACACAACATGGTGTTATCTGTAAACGCTATCATGTCAAAACGCGGTGACTTCGCAGCCACTGTGTTTCCGGGACGTCACATCAGATAAGTACATTTGCAAATGGTCGCATAGTTGGCTGTATAAAAACGAATCATACTGGTGCTTAGCATCATCTCTGAAAAAAGACCATGGCCTGTAAATGTAAGATCAGTGAGAATCACGTGAAATATCATTGATCCACTCGGGTCACCTAGATTACTGATCGATCGTGAGTAGACAGGCCGGCGAACTTGCGCAATGAACTACCATAATTACTCATTCTGTATACCTCAACTGCGCAGTATGCATAGGTCATAATTCTTGTGGCAAGACTAGGTGTGTTGATAGCGGGTCCTTAGGCCAGGTAACCGTGGCTAATATCTTCATTCACTATCCCTTGGGAATTCGTTGGAGAATGCGATCACTCCATGTCATACTTACATCACTCATGTCATACTTAGGTTGATAGTGCCTGTGCCTCCTTCATATAAGTTGACTGCGCTCTAAAAACATTGTTTAGTTCCACTTCCTGTGACTCTTGTCACACAGCCTATTTACATAAGAATTCCCTAACATATTTGGGCTCTAGTCGCCTGAAAGGAAGTTGCTTTTTTTTACCCTTGACAGTCACAACATTTACAAGATTACTCCCAAATACTGCACGACACAGACGATAAGGCTTTAGCTAATCATCTGCCCTCTCGTCATGCGATCAAGTTATCGACTTGTTTAGGTTGTAGAAAGCAAAAGGGTGATTGCTTTTTTCGCCTACTGCTGGCCGATCAGCAATCTGAGCGTTATTGATGAATCGGCGAAACCTGAAAACCGTGCGATGGTCCTGTGGGTGCTGCAACTCCGAAATTCTTCGGAGTGCTCAGTAGTGAGGCTTCCTCGGGAAGTAAACTGATGCATGTGCTCCCAGCACTGATACTTAACTGTCTTTTACTGTGTACATTCCATTACAACCGTCTATAACACTACGCATTATCTGTGTATGGAAAACAGTGACAACAAAGATCACTGGACTGCTCAATTTGTGCGCTTCATAATCTACGGATAAACAGTGTCCACACTACAGAATTGACCTTTTTGACCTGATCACAAAATTCGCAAAATAAGTGGTACCTGCAGTGTGGTAAGCCAGTAATTGACCTTTGCCTATCAGATCAATCGGTTCCTGCGCAAGGAACGCTGAGTCCGCCTGCCCGTTTTACCATGACCAAGAACTACAACAACGCTTAATGTCACAACCGCTAAGCCACTTCACTCCATTTTATTACACATTCGCACAGTAAGCAGACGAGTGGGCACTGTATGGTCCGGGGAGTAAGCAGATAATGCGTATATGTTTCTCTTGACATGGTATCCCTCGCTGTCCGGTCACCTGAACTGAACACTGACGCGAGTCAAATTTTACAACGATGTACGATCGACCCTATGCAATTTGCCTTCTTTCAGCTCCTGATGCTAAGCCAACCTAAGCGACTGTGTTGTGAGTCGGTGTGATCTAATTGCATTACGAAAAAAGCACTTATGTGGGGCCACGTGAATAGTTTGTTTCAGTGTTTGCATGGTTTGTTGTGCTTCATCTTTTCAGTGAGGAACTTAACCGATCATTTCAATCCATCCTGTTTTCTGGCTTGAGGAAGACAAATTTCATTCTTGGCTGTTGATCAGGTGGCAGTCGATCTGTTCGCCGAGCCCGGCAATTACGTAACTCGGCAAACAGATCAGTATGGCAGCTAGGCACTGAACGGGTGCTACAGCTGAACGATTATTGTATAGCTTATGCGACTAATCGCTGCTGACAAAGACCCTTATTGTCTTCTGGTGTGCTAGTTTGATCAACGTCTTTGGTTTCACAGTCTAAACTGGGTCATTTTTGCCGGAATTCAACTGTGGTTGATTGTGCTCACAGAGATCAAAGAGAATACACCATTCATATGGTCGTTCTAATACCGCTGAGGCGGGGGGGGGGGAGTGTGACGAACGAGAGGTTGAATTAACATATATTTGATGACTGGGCTCGGATGTGCGCAAAACATACGTTCTGGAGTACTTGTCAGACGTGTATTATACGACTCTCCCATAGCTGCTTTGCGGGAACGCGAATAGTCCAGGAAAACCCGACAATGTTACTAATCAGAGTAAGGTCAAGATTGCTGCCAGTCTTATTATTCGGTCACAGCTCGTCGTCGTTTCCCAACCACTTGTGTTTACGCCAAACTTATTACAATTAGTCGACCTCTGATGGGAAACAACATCATTGGTCTGCGGAGGATCTGTACAGTTCTCTGTCGATCAACTAGCAGGCCTACCATTTCTTCTTTATGATAGGCTTCATACTGATACTCCATTCATCTTTGTTACTTTCCAGTATACTACCAGTGGGTTCCGTTTGTTCTCGGATTGCAATGCATCATGTTCTACGTCCCTCGAGTGATCTGGCAAATGATTTGCTACAATCGCACGGGAACAGACATCCAGCACTTGGTCCTTAGTGCAAATCAAGCTGTTCACGCTACTGATGATCAGCGGACAAAGATGATACAGCATGTGGCCCGAACTTTGGAACAGATGCTCTTTCAGGTGAGCTAGCTTCATACTAATTAGTCTGCGTAGTAAGGAGTCTGGAAATGTTTTTCGCACCAAATTGCTGTGCAAATCTCTTCCTCTTTCTATACATGACTAAATGGGAGTGGGGGCGTACTAAGGAGCTGGGACTGGATTTCTAGGCCAGCAACAGTACAAAGGCCGCGAATGATGTCCACGATCGTACAGCCGTCTCAAGTGCTAAGTCGTTCCAACTAATGTTTCTAGAGATGAAATTTTGTACCGTTATACTAACAGAAGCATATCGTGAGCCAAATAACCGTTCGGAGCATCGTTTTGCTAGTACTGAACTTTCTTTGCAGTTACTCTGCCAGTCATGTCCTAACTTCGAAATAATCATAGCAAGTGGCACCCTAGAAAATAAAACAAGTGACTTGATCGATGTGGACTTGACCTTTTTTGAGGTTGGAATCGATGGGAATCTGTCGGACAGCATGTCTATGCACGACTCACAACACCGGTCAGGTGCGGTTATATGGATACATTGTGCGTGAATACACTTTCAGCAGGCTGGTTCCGTGAACTGCTGACAATTTGTTGAGCAATGGAGTCATCATTGAATGGTCAGATTGCTGGGATTCGTAACGAATTCAATTGCCCGATGAATTGCATGGACGTTTATTACTTACTGTTTATCGCTTTGATGTGCGGTGGTCCCCGCTGTATATTAGGCTGACTCTACGGATGTCTTGCGGCTGCCGTGGCGTATGCTGTGGATTTGGCAAACTGTTTTTTTGACACCGAATTTCGTTTGCTCCGGTCTAGTCCCCGCTCCTTCAAGTGTCTCTTACAGGGTTATATCCTTACTTTTCCGTTTGAGACCCTCTCGTCATCTGGAAGTGTAAATTTTGTCACTCACCAACTAGTACTGATCCGATCGAATGTTCCGTCAATAGCCGCATTTTTGTTTGAATCTCTTCTGCTCAGTCAGCTGAAGTTATCTTCGCACCTCCAAGGGTCTACTCTACACTATTCCAAGCATGCTAGTTTGTCTATTTTCTGCATTAAGTTGAGTCCAATGAGAATTTCAGGTTACTGGTTTGTGAATACAGGTCCAGGAACTCCTATTACAGACTTTGATGTCAGTGGCTATTGAGTCAGTTGTATGCATTCCGACTGGCACCACTACTCAGCGCACAACTAATGACCCATCGCCACGCTCGACTCCGCTCCGTATTAACGCACTAATGATGTCATCTTGATTGGTGTTGAAACGTTTGCAATGAAGTTGTCCAACTCGGCAAACAAGCGAGTTCTGCACTTGCCGTGACTTTGGCTCTCGTAACTGCCGGTGGTGTGAGTACTTCAGTATGCATTATGTATCATCTAATGCCCTCATAAAACTCAATCATAAAAGCACCTGCAGATTACGGGATCGACGAACGGTCACTTTATCCCCTAGACTTTTCTACCTTTACTTTCTATTTTTTCACAATGATACGAGAGCGTTTAGGTCCTGAGCCGACCGGTCACTTAAACTCCCCGTTTGGTTACTTCATTTTCCCCTTCTCATCTTCGATTTTGCCTTCTGTGGATCAGAGACTCAGTAAATGTTTTCATTTCGCAAAATGGTCTTTGACGTGTTCACCTAATGGATTTGGATCTGGACTGTATTTTCCGTCCATCGGTAATTACTTGTGTTATCTACTTGGGCGGAATGTGGCCAATGGTCATGCACGTTTCATGTGATCTTCTTTAGCCACAATCTTTCTGCAATTAGTAGGAATTTTTTTTTCAGTTTCCCACACTGGATAGTCTTTGGGAAGTCGGTTAGGGGGTTCGCAGCCCAGTCGGTGAAAATAACTACATAAGCATCAGTGCAGTTTTTATTACCCGTCAGATGGACCGTTTTCCTGCTGATAATTGTCAACGCCTGCTACTCGTATTGTATTCCACACAACGACCATGCTTTACAACAATTTTTCGCTGTTCTTTTGAGTCTTGGCACATGTTCACTAGTTAGCGATTGGCGAGCAAGCTTTTTGATCACTTGCCTGACGCAGTTGGTTCAACGGGATAGAGCTTCGCGTCTCGCAAGGGTGTCCCAATGTCTTTGGGACAAAGGTAACCTCACGTAGAGTGTCACAATTGTGTCCTCTTTAGAGGACATCTTTGGAATTTTTTTAAAAAATTTTGACGCTCTACAGTCTTGTTGGTCAATATCCAACCGTTAATGTTCGCACCAGTGAACAGAGTCAAGTTTGGCATAATAATATCTGAACCTGATCGACATATATATGTATATGTACGTTTGTATAAAGTGTATATGACTCGTAGTGAATGTTCCACATTTCCGATGTCTGGACGCACATGATTCTTTTTTGTTTTACCGCATTTGATGATCAATCTCCGCGTTTTTTGGAATGTATGACAAACTAACACATTCTTCGTTTATCTCTTGAAAGCGGACTCTGTGGAAGGTATTTTAAGGACTGAGTTTGCAATATGGTGCTTTGCATATCCACTGTTTTCATCGCGGTGTTTGATTGTCGGGCAATCTACCGTTTTTACACTTGTTGTGTGGAGACTTCAATTGTTCCTTTCTTCATGTATTCCTTTGAGCGTGTTAAAACTGGTAAAATGGGTGAGTTCATTCTTTGTCCAGAGGTTTCAATGCTTGCTCTTACCATTCTCGCGTATATTGAAGTCAGCCCTGACCGTCATTGGTTCATGGTGCAATGCGTCAGGTTTTTATCTTGTTTACTGAAGAGTTACAGTTTCGTAGGAAAGTTAGCAACCGAAAGGGTAGAATTTCCAAGTCGCTATACTTTACAACTCCCAACTGTCGCACTATTAGGAAGACTGTTTCATTTCAACTCAAGTGGCTAGTTGTTGCTTTGTTCGCTTCCCCCAGGAGCGAACTTTTGTGAGGACAGAACAGGGGTTTTTGCTCTGTATTGAAGTGTTCACTCTGAGATCAGCGACTGGGTTTATTCTGTCGTCCGATAACATATAAGACATCCTCTTTGTTCCTTTGGGCAATGTGCCATTGAGAGCGACCACCAAGTTGGGACGGTGAATGTCTCTTTGTGCTCACATGAGCATGTGGTATCTACCACATTCGTGAGTTTTCTGTCGTTTCCTGAATATTTTCAGGTTCAATCTGACCACAGATTACCGGGTATTTCAAATTCATTGAATTTTCCGGAGGAATCTGGATTATCATGATTCATTTGTCGTTGACAGCAATACGGGAGTAACACATAGTGGTGCGTAACTGTCATGCATTGGAAGCGTCTTGGTCTATTAGATTCACGCGCGGTGGTTCGTAGACTGAATGCCACCATAGAACTATCTGGCTGTGTCGACCGCCTGAAGAAAGCATGGACGGGAAGGTCAAATCGATTTTGAGGCTTTAGTGGCATGGCGATTGCTAGCTTAGTGAGCAGAGAGCAATTCCGAATGTGTTCACCCATATTTTGCGCACAATAAGAATGCGATCAAGTGTTCCCTTCGTCGTTTACTTTTTTTGGACCAAGCCATTTGTTGGTGGCCAGATATTTTTGTTTTTCTATATTGTCGCCGTGTCGATTTTCACATTTCCGCTCTTGTGCACTGGGGCGACTTCGTCACCTTCTGGTATCCGAAAACTGTTTCTGGCAAATGAATACACAAATGTACATGGTGATGCATGTACGTCTGAATTGTCCGGTTGCGTGATGAATTGAACTATGAACGCAACTGACTTCTGTTTATGTTCAATTCTACCGTCCATATTTACACATGAAGAAATCGGAACCCGACCGACTCGAAATCTGTTTGATTCCCACAACATTCAAGTACAATTTCTGTCACAAAGGCTGAAGCCGTTAGGCGTTTCGTTATGACTATGATTTTTGGGGTTTACTGTAACTTAGATCCGGATTGTGGAGTTTCTATGCAGTACCTTGTGGGAAGCTTGTTTTCATGGCATTTTTGTATCAGTCTCTGCTGCCACTCTTCTCGTTAGATGCACGTATTATCCTTTGTGAAGATGTTAGTAGGCCCTAATTGGTCCCTCTTACTGGTTACTTCTAGAACCGGACAGTTAGTGATTCCAGTTTAGTCAGGTACACTGAATATTTTATGGGTACTTCTTGCCTGTCATCAGCCTTTGAAACTCATTTCACAGAGCTCTGTATACGTAGTGAGAAACAGTTGGTTTTGTCCCAGTGTGTCAAATATCTGTGTCAGTATAGGCATTTACCCAAAAGATCGCCTGTGAGGTTCACCCGTCTGGTGTTAAAACACACTGACAACTGTGCTCCTAAAAAAGTTAGGACAAAACACGGTGTTATGCTCGTCACCCACCGCATGATCAACATTACCTGGCGTTTGTGTTTCACTGTTGCATGTCATCTATGTTGTATTGGCATGAGTGTTATTTGTTCTCTGTGTACCCTTCTCGTTCACCTTCACCATCTGATTGGTGCACCCTATTCTTTTTTCTATGCATGCCATTGGGGAACTTCACGTCTCTGTCGCTATGCTAAAACCATAACTCCGGAATCTTTAGCACCAGAGAGCACGTGCCATGTCCCGAAATCGATACATCCAGTTGCAAACAGCCAAGATTGGCCAACGTTCCACCGTAACGGCACAGCCCTCGTTAGAACAAGAACGGGTATATGGCTACGGTGATGTGAAACAGACATCACCAAAATACCACACTGATCGAGAATACAGTGGTCTGGCCGACGAACTGTCCGAACCCAAGTCAAAAAGTCTGATTGGTCTGTGTTGCTACCATCTTTGGCGTACCGTTTGCTTCATCCATCTGGATCATCATCGAGGCACTTTCCTCTCCTTGGCCTACCTGCTGATGAAACTGTTGTACCTAGCCAATGCGGTTAGTCAGTTGCTACTGATGCAATACTTCCTCGGCTTCCGCGAATATGGAGCCTTTTTTGGTGTGGTATTGCTGCACAACATTCTAAGCGGAAAGGATTGGCAGGCCACACTCATCTTCCCGCGCGTTGCCTACTGCTATGCACCGATCAAGCACCTGGGTACGACCACCAACACGGCTGTGGCACAGTGCGTGTTACCAGTGAACATGTTGAACGAGAAGATCTACATCTTCCTCTGGTGGTGGGTCTTCCTGATTATCATTATTACGGCTTTAAGTTTGTTACGATGGTGTCTGCGTACGGCCAGTCGTGTGAAAGGTACCGACTTCGTGAAGAAATACCTGATGCTGTCAGATGTCGCTATACCGATCCATCCATGTCGCATAGACGAGTTTTGTCGACGCTTTCTTCGAAGAGACGGCGTGTTTCTGCTGCGGATGATAGCCGAGAATGCAGGTGAGATGATTGCTTCTGAAATATTGCACACATTATGGCTTAGCTACGATGGGTTAATAGACCTAAGCAGGTCTCATGTGGACAATGAAGACCTCCAGAAGAGCAAGACAGGTTTTGACGAGATTGCTGAGTGCGGCCCGACTAAAGCTACTGCTCCGTCTGCAGAAACGGCGAAAAGTGATGTCAATGAAACAGTGAACCCTTACGGATCATTGAGGGAACATTCGAATCACATTTCGCTCCGCGGTACCGACAGACCTTCAGCCAAAGGGGCTGCAACTCACCTGATTGTTGGTGAAGATCCACACACTGACCCACGATTCGGTTCGTATGTGTAAAGCGGTTATTGATTGATTGCTGATGAAACCGATACAACTGCTCTTCCAGCTTCGTCTTCCCACTCGTGCCCCGTGTTGCATTTACTGTTGTTCCTTTTTTGAGGTTCTTCGTTATCGTTGAAACGTTTCTATTCTTATTCTAGACAACTGCATTACTGCAGATGTCCCACCCAAATAGCTCAAAACACTCAGAAGACTTCGCTACTATTTTTGATACTTTTGTCTTTTAGAGTGCTGTCTTCCATCACAGCTCCTTCAGATCATTTTATGAAACATTTGAAAGTTTATTGCTGGAGTTTATAAACCATGCTTTGCATGTTCTGTTCCATGTCGGTATGGGCTTTGGTGTGTTCGTGGATGTTGCATGTTTGTTGCATGTTATAGCTCCTCTCATGAGTTGTAGTATGGATGATGAGGAAATCTGAGAGATACGCCTCAGTTCGCTTGTATTGCACCGTCTGATAGCATTCAGTTTGTTTAGTTGTCTGAGTAGGTATCTTGGGCGTCGCATCAGCCATTTTATCGGCGTACGCATCTCAAAGGCAAGAATTCCCAACTGGCATTGTCTTTTTGCAAGGAAACATGTCATCGAGCTTCAGAGGTTATGTGTACCAAGTCATTGATTATGAGTCTGGTCCCCGCTAGTGGAGGATCAGGACATGTTCAGGTCTTCGCATGTTAATGCCTGGGTATCGCAGCTGATGCGGGAAAGCATCAGCGGATTCTTAATTAGGCTGACCAGTGCAGCTCCCCTCCAGTTGATGCTCAAGATCGAACAACTACACCAGTCTTGGACTCATTTAGGTCAAACTCCTCTGGAACGTCTGAGCGACATCAAAAATGCATTGCTGAAGGGAATTCAGCGGCCATACACGGGAGAAATAACCAATCTGAAAATAGATGATTTCGATCTGGAAACTTGGAGCTAATGTGCATTGAATATGTTATTGGGTTTACGGGTGCCGTAGGAACTAGACGGCAACAGAATAGGTCAGTTTTCAAGATTGTCCCACCTGGCATAACGCAAACATCTCGGTTGAATAAAACCGGACGCGTGATTCAGTTAGGTGGCTACTGGCATTAACAGGAACGTGTCTTCAGGCAATCTTCCTTACTAGCAAAAGTGTCTACCGTGAAGAGCACATAAGGTGTCTTATTTCGGACTTAGGTCAGTAAAGTGTTGCCTCCCGTAATTCCTGAACTGTGGTCCGATAATGTACATGTTTGCAGTACGCCAGAGTTTTTTTCATTCACTGACAAAGTGGATAGAATTGTTCTGACTCGTTGCTTAGAGATAGTGGCTAATATCAACCTGTAGTTTAGGAGCCACATTTCCCCTTCGTACATTGTAGCGGCCAATGAAGCGTGTTTGAACAGTGTTCCGAATAACGGAATACCCGAGTATGACAGATACACACGGTGTTGCAATAGTTGGATAACAATGCCTGCCAGCATTTACCCGGGGTACAAGTGCTATCAGCCCGCAATTTATCAACTGGGCCAGCTTCTACCTATGGCTTCTCAGGAAGTCATAATGACCTGCAACAGTCAGACGCATTTTCTATAGAGGAAAATGTTGGTAGCTCAGGTAGCGTAGACTGTTCGCTCAGCGATTCTGATGCAAGCACATTGAGTTTGAAGGAGAAGCGCTCATTATTCAGGTGAGCATGGGACGCGCAGAGTAACAACATTCTGAACCGGAAGGAATTCAAGTGCATTAAACTCATGTTCAACACTTCTGGTCTTGACCTGTCGCAGGAAATCAACGACAAAGCCATTACCATTGCTTATCAACATGATTCCCATATTGATGGCTCGAGCACATGATCCTCTTCCGGTTTCAAGTGTCGTTCCAGCTTGCATAGCTACTATCTGATTAGAGATGCTGAGTAATCAATGTGCCTCTGATGAAAATCCACATACCAGACTACTCATTTCTGTCATTTCTGAGAGGGGCGTGATAGCAAGACAACACGGTGTTTCATCTCTCTCTCTCACACACCATCTACATCGGACTCGCAATTTAAATACCATCATAGGGAATGTGCAAAGTTGCAACCAGCCCAAAAACCCTAAAACTCAATTACTGATGGTTCTGAAGCGGGGCTCGATAGGCGGTGTTCAGTATTTTGTCGTCACACTCAGCATAATTATAACCAAGTGGATTATGTAGGTATTAGGGCAGAAGTATCACCAAAATTTCTCGAGTACACGGTGATATGGGATAGTCCGTTTAGAAAACATGTGTCCCCATAATGTTGTCACGCGGATTGCACGACGAATCTGCATTTAAGATCGTGGGGGCGTTGTGTCCAATATCCAGGATCTGTATCAAGCCTAACCGTAAAGCTCGATAGCCAGCACGGTTTCTTTGTCAGACAGAGTGAGTGTACGTTTCATCGACCAATATATCCGTAGATTTCATTTTGCAGTTTCATGCTTGATATTTAGTTTTACTCTAACCACCCTGGATATAGCTCTTGAGACATTCAATCGTCCCGGGTGCTTCTCAGAACTCATGTTCAGATCAATGAACAGAGAGAAAGAAACACTCACATTACCACTGCTTAATTTCCACTTCATTCACTTCAACTCCCCTCGTGAGTGTGATGGACTAGATTGGTGGGCAATGTCATGCCGTCCGTCATGCGGGCCTTACATGAGAGAGAGAGAGAGAGTCAGGTGACATGGATAGGCTTTTGGTAGGTTGTGTGCAAGTGACAGAAGCACTCGCCAGCAGAAGACAGTCAGATTCCTCAGAAATACCGATAGGTCGTCTGTTGCTTTGATATTCTGATAGCTTTACTGTTTTGGAGTTGTTTAGATCGTTCTATCGTGTACAATTATGGGAACAGTTTTACTAGTTGACATTATTTTTGAGCACTTGAGGCATTCTATCAGTTTTCCTCCTGTGCGTTTGGTGCATGCTCAATCCAAATCCAACTAATATACTATAAGGCAATCACTGAAAACACCGTGTCAGGGATGCACGATGAGCAAACTGATATAGCTACCCACGAGTTTCTGACCGAAGATCAGTTTTTAATTATCTGCGGACTTGTGAGAAAGTGAAAATCATCCTTTGGGCATCACTAAGTGGGAAGTCACAGTCACTTTTATTATTATGGATTTTGCCCAACCAAATTAAAGTTCAAGCAATCTTCATTGAAGCATCACAGTTCTGAACTTTCTCCAACTTTTGGCTTGCAGATATCGACCCATTTTTTTTCAACTTTCGTTACCTCCTTGGGTTCTATTCTCAGTAAACAAATTAAGGGTAAGATCACTGAATTTATGAGCTTAAGTCAGCTAGATGAACTGGACGTTATTTTACACTCAAATCTAGAGCTCCCACAAAAATGTTTTCGTTAAGCCAGCCGCCGGTTTCACTAATACTTTGGCACAAATCGTCATAGTAATGGATGTAAGTGAAATTTAATCATGCACCAACCAGTTCTCCTATGGACTTATTTTCTCGTCTTTTTACGGGTCTGTGTAGTATCATTGCCCTGATATAAATCGCCGTCGCACAGTTCTCATTACGGAACAAGACAGAGTCTGTTCTCTAGCTTGTGCGTCTCATGCACCAGCGTGAAGATCGATGAGGCCATGATCCACTCGAATCATGTGCCGGCCGGGTGCGTCTGTGCTTCTTTAACGTCGTCACTCAAAATATGCTCAATACAGTAATGCTCGTATTGTAGCTAACTTCCCGGTGCAGCTTCGAGGCGGTCGGTTTCACGTTTTCAGATAAATCGACTGACCTATTGAAGTTGCCCCTTGCAATATTTGACTTGGTATTGGGTTGCCGTGGTAGCGTTCTCCATCCGTCAACTTAGATATCCTGTTGAGTCGTTGGATGTTCAGGATGTGATTTACACAACGGTAAAAAACCTAGTTTGTGAACTGATCGCAAACGAAGCGACCATAGTCCATAACTAGACGGATTTATGCTTTAAGAAAGTTGAGCTTCAGCTGCTGAACTGGCGTACGGGCTCATGCGCAGCTGATCCGAGCGAATCTTACCTTCAATTTGACGTCAACACTGCCGCCTCGAGTGCGAAGTATCTGAGCTGCCTAGCCATCCGTGAGAACCGAATTCGAGTGAACAAACACTGACTCATCGTGCGCTCAACTGTGACCACATACGTTTCAAAATTTTCCATTTTGGTGGGCGGACCGCGAGCGAATAGGTAGTTCAGTTACGGCCTGTAATGCGGTGTGTGGGTGTGCGGGCAACCGAAAGACACGATGCTAACCACACGGCCACCCTAGTGCAGGCAGGCCGAGCATGACCATGCGCAGAACGGTCGATATGCAATGGTGGGCGAAGACAACAGATGCGATGTGTGCCAGATGTTGGGCAGTTTTTACCGAATCCAAATGAGTGGGATTTTGTGCTTCAGATATTCAATCGGAAGCTGATGGAAGCTCTTTTCGAGCAACAACAAACTGAGTACTGTTGCACAGGGCGGGCAAATCGATGGACTGCGCACAATGGGAGAAGGACTAATGAGTTGTACCAGTATAATGTATATGAGATATTTTCGGACGAATCATTTAGTTGAATTGTGTTTAGAAAATGCTGGTCCGTTGGAAAATATAATACCTATGACAAGGGACCACTGGAGCAGTGGTGATTCGAGTATAAACGTAACAGACCGTAAGAAGGACCGCTGACCCGTTCCGGCGTTATACATTCAGCTACCAGCTATACCAGGGACTCGGGAAAGAATCTCAACGTTATTGAGGTTAAACCCAGTCATTCAGGATTATGAACTAGGCACACGTCCTTCGGTGAAATACGATTGACTTTCGGATGAAGTGCCGAACAACGTGATGGCTGTGAGGGATAGGTGGGTGATTCGGAGTCAGGTAAACCCTTTTCATCTGCTTTACTTGTGCTTAAATGGACAAAAACGATCAGACTTTGTCACAGATTGAATACATCTTTATCCACTTAAGCGAATGAAAACCTTGCAATATTCTTTGAAGTGAATTCACCCGGAAGTTCAGAGGAAACGGACCTTCACCACCCAGGTCTTTGTATGTTTTAGATGTATGGTTTTATGTGCAACTTCCCCCGTACAACCAATACCTCCGCGTGAGAAGCTATTCGGTGACCATCGGGAGTGTCTTATGAAGACGAAGCGTTCAAAAAGCGTTCAGCTGTAGCACCCTTCCGGTGCCTAGCTGCCATGCCACCCGAAGGAAGCACGAGGGCTGGGATACTGCCAGGTTGCCCAAGCCTAGACAGGGGAAGTCGAGTGGCGGAGGTCGGA